TGCGGAAGGGGACAGCTGTGGGGCCGGGCGGGGAGTGGGGGCAGCGGCAGAGGGAAAGGATATTCGGTTCTTGTTGAGGGTTAAGGTATGGAGTCTGGGTAACCCTGGCAACACGAGGTCGTCCCCCAGCAGATTGTTGTCCAAGATGAGTTCCTCCAGGCTCCTGAATGCGCTCAGTCCTTCCAGTGACCTGCAATGACAAAGGCAACAGGAAAAATGATCCTGCACTAAATCAGGGAGGCCATTATGAGCCGAAATAAATATTTTAACCTTCCCTTTCAGGACTGGGAATAGTTTGGGCTTGGTGCCTGTCAGCAAAGTGAATGACAAGAATTAGTAGCAGGAGCCGGGGCGGGGGCGGCGGGGGAGAAGGGGCCGCTGGCACCCACCGCATCCTTCACGCATTGCCAACATGAAGGATGAGGGTCACTTAGTGAGTAGCCAGGATCCAAAACAAAGGGCTTCAGATACGGCCTGCAGGATAAATTTGTCAATGTCTTGTGCCTTCAGGCACCCAGCCTCGGCTGACCCTAACCTCCATTCCCAAGATAAATAACTCTGTCACAGTTCACCTTCATTCCCTGGACACAAATTTAAGTTGTCATCCATCATTCCTGCCCAGAAATATCATACCCTCTTACAATAATAAATATAACTTCAAGTATCATTTCTTAGCGGTTCTCCTCTGTACAGTCATGGGGGAAATGGCAGGGAAAGCTCCCTTTCTTTCCGCTCACATCCTTTGACTTTTTCTCCCCTCTGCTTTTTTTCTTTACTAATCACTTAATTTGCTTCTGCCCAGTGTCCCTGTGGCTGCCCAAAAGGAAAGGCATCTGCAGAATTATATAATCACTCTGGTCTGAGAGGGCTTTTTCTCTTTTCCTTTCATTATTTCTTTTTACTTGCTTTTGTTTTTGTTGGGGGGAGAGGGGAGAGACGGGGCTGGGGGAATTTCTGCTTCAAAGCTCCTGGCCTGAAGTTACTGTTTTAATTTATGGAAAGTGGATTTCTCACTTAATTTTTGAAAGAAGTGTAGAGTGCGCCCAGTAGATGTTAAGGCAGTAAATAAAAAGACATCTGAAAGAATTAAGTACCCAGCTCAGGGAGGAAAAAAAATATATAACAGAAAGGGAAAAATAGCCTTGTTTATACACGTTGCTGAAAGTTAACTCTTAATTTTATGGGCTCTCATGAGTGCTGGGGGTGGAGGTGACGTGGGGTAGTTGTGCACAAGTGCTTGCCTGGGCGCACACAGACATTAATTAAAGCAAGCTGCCCAGCTGAGGGACTTACACAGAGACACATACTCCCGGCTCGTTCACCTGCCAGGCCCAAGAGATGTGCTGAGCTTGCACAGGCTGACAGCTGAGCTACGATGTGGACCAGGGGGTGGAGGGGACTCGCATGGGATCCCTGGCTGTTCTATAAAATGTGACGAATCAGAGAGATGTCGTCCACGCTATTTATTCATTTATGGGTAGCATGAACATTCCAGTCCCGTGTGCTTGCGTATGCAATGCCTGCACATCTGCTGTGAGTGTGAACTTCAGCACCAGAGCTCTCCCAAGGCATCCCAAGCTCCCTTGTGGGATCTCTCTGCCAGGAGGACTCCAAAAGAGGGAGTCAATACTTTCTAGGTGTAAAATGCGTTGGAAGTAATTAAATCTGTAGATTCCACCGGGCCCGATGCTCCGCCTGCATGCTCCATTCCTGCCAAACCTCAGGGTAGTCCCACCCAGGGCCCCATGCCCAGAGCACGCCTGCTCCTATGACCAACCCGTCTGCTCCACAGGCATTTTGGATTAGGGGTCCAGGGGGTCATCGTGTTTCATTTCCTCCTCCTTTCTCTTTTTTGTCTGCCTCTGAGAGGCACAAGGCAATGTATGAACATCTACGCAGGAAGGTTTGGGACTCTACCTCCAACACTCCACCATTTCCCATAGTGTGAATTCGGTCATATAGCCCCTCTGAACTCTCTTGCTCTGTGTCTTCCAGCTCATAGGGTCATATGGAGAATAAATGAGAGAGGGCTAATGAGTGACTAGCAAATGCTGGGTTTTTCTTTTCCTTCTTCCTTTTATTCTTTGATTTTTTTTAACAAAAACCCTGACCTTGCGGGTGTGTTTGGATGCAGAGGTGTGCAGCTGTCGAGCTTGAGCAAGGAGGTTTTCTGGCTCTTCTAAAGTCCCTTCCTCCCTTAGGGGTGAATGAATGATGACGCAAAAGGCTTCTCAGGACCAGGCCTCTGTTGACCACAAGGGGAGGTGAGGCCACTTGCCGTTAGGGAGCCTTATGGGCAGCTAAGAAGTCCTTTGTGCACAGACATCAGTTGGGCTCTGCTCAAAGGCAGCATCTAAAATACACATTGTTCCTGAGTTCTGTTATGCAAATATTAGACTCTGATGATGAGACTCAGCAAATGGTTGGCTACTGGCAAGCAGAAGAAAGCTCCCTTCCAAGAGTGCATCAGGGGAGGCATAAAGCAAAATGACACAGCATGAAGAGGGACAGCACCCAGGATCACCAGAGGGAGTGCCCGCCCCCACTGAGACAACCTTTCTCCCCCTACAGGGTGGTCTCTGAGGCAGAGCTCTGTGCCACAGTGAGACCTCTCAGAGTTGGGAGGCTCAGTCTCAAATTCCCTATCACCTGTCTGGTTTTGAGATTCCTTACTTGCCATGTGATGTTATTAGCTGCTCAGTAAAAAGGGCACCCTTACATGGGCGGTCGCTAATTGATAAATCCCTGTTTTCATGTCATCAGTGTGGAGTGCACCTGGTGATTTAATCAGCTAAATCCAGGGCTGAGGGCTTGGGGACGGGAGGTGGGGAGCAGAGCGTAGTGACACGGGTGCCGGAGAGGACAGGATTTGAAGAGCTTGCCTGGCCAATAAACTCACACCCGGAAGGAAGATGGCTTTATCTTTTGCTTTTTAACAAATTTCATTGTTGCTACTTGTGTTACTGTTTTCTAGGGAGGAATAGGACAAAGAAATATTGGTATCAATCTTTGAGTTCCTATCCCTCTATACCAGATGGCTGCAAATAGATACATGATGTTAAATAAAATGACAAGGCAAAAAATGCTTTCACGATCCACGCAGATCTATGCTATTTAATAGGACAGTGATGGCAGCTATGGGGAAAAGATGATGGAACTGGGATTTTTCTGCTACAACCTTGTGTCTGGACAGCAAAATATGCCCCAAAATGAAAGCCCCGGTGGAGAGGGTGACCATCACTCCAAGGTCACTTGCCAGCTTCCTGGCAGTGGCTGCCACGTCGGGGGTATGGGCTAGGGGCTGGAGGAGAAAGGAAAGGCTTCATCCATGACCTAGGGACAGCCAGCTGGAGAGAGATTGTCCAAGCCGGGATTGTTCTGGAAACTTAATCAGCACCTCCAGAGCGCCCCACAGGCTGCCTGCCTCCCCCTCCACCAGCAGCAATGCCACCAGTATCCCACCCACAGGTACCATCTTACCTGGTTCCCTAGTTCCCAGGGCTCTGCCTGGGCTCCCCAAGGAGCCGCAGCGGCTGCCGGGAGAGTACCAGTGCCTTTTCCAAAGTCACATCAAAATGACAAAACATCACAACGCATTCAGCTCCAGTGGATTCAAACGGAGAGAACTTTTAAGTTTCCACTGTAATTAACCCTATCCTCGTTAAGATAATTATGATCAAGCTTCCTGTCACAGTTAATATCCCAGCATCATCGCCTGTGGCTCACACTCTGCCCTCATTAGCTTATAAAAACAGCGGCACTAAACAGGCGGCCGTGGCCTGCCCAGGCTTAGGCCAGTGGCCCGGAGCCGGCACGGAGGAGCCTCAGGCTGGGTTGCGGCCCCACAGAAGGGCTGCCCCTTGAACCCACTTGCCTCTGCTCCTGGGTGGGCACAAAATCAGCCACCTTCATCCGTTCCCCCCCAAATTAGCCACTCATCAGAATGCAGAAGAAGGACCAGGACCAGGGCAGGGCTGGTAGGTTTGGAGCAGAAGCATTCTAATTTGTAGCTACCCCTCCCTGCCTCTTCTCCAGAAAAAACCCAGCCAGAACACCGTGCCATAAAAATCACTGGAGGACACTTCTAGAACCCCAGGTTCAATCCCCGGGTTATAGCTGTGCTAGGAGCTAGGGCCCCTTCCCTACCTCGCAGCCTACACCAGAGGAGTCAGCACCACCCAGAATGAGATGGGCAGAGAGCAGTAGGGACAGATAACCAGAGCCTCACAGAGAAGTGTCTCTCTCTTTGGGACCATATTTGGCCTCAAATCCAGGACCAATGGTCAGGATGTTCTCAAACCAATCATGAAAACATGATCTCTACTAAGATCTCTATTTCCTCAACTTTATCTATCTAAATATCCATACCCATATTTGCAACTGAGAAAATGGGGAGGCCATGGAAATTCTAGAAGGCCTCACCCACACATCTAATGGCTACCTCCCTGGCTAGGTCCTCAGACCTGCAAAGTCCGGCTGTTGTCTGATCTGTACAGGTTTGTCTGGATGATTTCTGTCTGTCCAGCTGCCAGCAAAAGTGGATCTTAATGCAACCTCCACATACCTGGAAAGCTGTTAAATGCACTGAGAGGGCCCAAAGCAGCCTCACCCACTGACTATTGCTCAACCACAATCCTGTGAATGTCTGAGAGAAAAGCAGTCAATAAATCCAAGCACAGGACAGAGAGCCAAACTAGGAGGGCACGCTCTAAACTTGCATTCTTTCAGAGGCCAGAATGCCTCCCCACCTTTACCCTGGGGCCCTGTGTCTGAGAATAGGAAGGAGTAACAGTCTGTGAGTCCACACCAGTATACCAGGACTAATTATAAAAAAAATACTTCCTTACCAGTAGGTAAATAATTGTAGCTCTGAGTATCCTCCCTGTTAACCCTAGCATTCCTTGGCACCCCCAGGCCTCCTCATAAACCAGCAACTAAGTGGTCAATGCCCACCACAGCACGGGACCACTACAGATCCGGCTCCAGCCAGCAACTGTTCTGATTAGTTGGTGCAGTTGTTAAACAGTCTAAACATCACCCTCGAAAGCAGAAATAGTAATTTGTTCCTCTCTTATTCCCCATACCATGCCAAATGCAGTGCCTGGTACATAGCAGATCCTTGGGAAATGTCTGCAAGTCAACTTCCCACAGAGGCCAAGGCCAAAGCCACAAGAATAAGATGGAAGACAC